CGTTCTGAACTTTTCTGTAGCTCTTGGATCTTCCAGAAGTATTTGAAACTTCTTTAAATGTTTTGAATGTTGCCTAAAATTATTGGAACATCTCTGAAGTTTTTAAAATTGCTATAAGAGCTCTTAACTTCTCTGAATTACTTAGAACTTCTATGAAGTTTCTGTTATTTTTCATGTTAACATGTTAAAATATGTTTAGCATTTTTTTTTTTTTTTGAGTTAATCTTCCAATTTATTAAGCGTTTGTTTTAATCACTAGGGCGAAGAAATATGTTTTCACTTCGAGAGCACCTAGTAAAAATTTGATAAAAAAAAGCTTAATGTCTTTGGAAATGTAGGTACCTGTTTTCACCGGAGCACCTGACCATAACATAAGGTGGCCCAAATAAAAATAAACTGTTAGTATCTGATTAGCGCAACAAGTTGTATTTCTAATGACAATAGATCATTTTTCAATGCGCATCTGTAGGTATATAGATGAATTTCCAGCATTTTAATTTGACATTAAATGGCGCTGATTCAATCTTTGATCCCCGTCCAAAAATTCCCACAGCTTGTAAAAGAGAAGCACATGTAGATCGATATTTCTGCACCCAGTTAGCTTTAATTACTAATAACAGATCGATTTTTGGAGCTGTTTTTTCCCCTATGTTGGGGACATAATACCACCGTTACCATTACTTTGATATATTGTGGTGTATCCTCTTTTTATTTATGCCATAACGTAATGGTAAGCCACTATTGTTTGAGTAACTACCACTACTGTTGTAAGCAATTATCCCAACCAGGTAATACATTCCTTATGAAATTTATTACCTGATTGGGAGCAGCAGCCCAGATTTTCCAAGACCCTCATCAAGATATCTGCATCGTTTATGAAATAGTGCAACACAGTCACACGGCAAATGTTCAGAGCTTTCGCTTTTTAAGTTACAAAAGCGACATTTATCTTCATGAAGTTTACCAATGATTTTCAGGTGATATTTACAGTGTCCTGTTATCGAACCAGCATATGTACTCAAATCTTTTTTAGAAAGATTGTGTAATTTTTGTGTATGAAAAGTGTTCGGCTTTATAAAACGTTTAGATTGGCGAGAATTTAAGGTACTGGCTCAGTTGTACTGTACCTTTGTTTTTTCCTAGTTTTCCATTTTTAAAGCACAAAATGAAAGTCCAATAAAAAGGTTCAGGGCCAATGAATTTCGTGGATGACCCTATTTTTGCCAATTGATTAGCTTTTTCGTTTCCTTCGATTGCACAATGATCAGGAACCCAATAATGGTTAACCGTGTTTCATCAGGACAGTTGCTGTAATAGTTTAGTACATTCCCATATCAGTTTTGACGTGTAAATTTTTGATTTCTAAGCATTCAGCGCCGATTGAACGCTAATCTAAGATGGCATATATTTCAGCTTGAAAAACTGTCGGCCATTTTCCCATGAAAACCGAGAAGTTAACCCCAGGGCCCGATATTACCACCAAACAATATTATCCATTATGTTTAAAAAATAATTATCCAGGACTAATATTCAGTGTTCCTGCATCCCAGTCAACGTGAGTCACATCAGGAACTTGGAAAATATTTTGTAGGATTGACATTCAATCCCTCTTCTTTGCACCACGATAGTGTGACTTTTAATGCTATTTGCATTATGTCGAAAACAACTTTATCGAATTTTGCACGGACTATAATGATAATGTTATCCGCAAACCCAATTATTTCGAAACCTTGATGCTTTAGTTTTAAAAAAAAGGTCATCAACAACTAGATACCACAGAAGGGGATGAAGAATACCTCCTTGAGGACAGCCTTTTACAGTTGCTATTTTCACTACTGAATCTCCTAAATTAGCTGATATTTATCTTTTGGATAGCATTTCTACAATCCAGTTTATTATGTTTTTTTTTTTTAATTATTATTAAAACCACGATTTCTCATAGCGCTTATCATCGACGTAAAAGATGTATATTCATTATCAAGAAACGTTGCTGGTAGAATAAGAGTATGAAGAGCTGTTATTGTTGACTTGCCTGACTAGTGAGCAAATTGTGTCTTACATAATGGTTTATTAAGAAGTATTTCTGATTAAACAAATTCATCTATGAGTTTTTTCCATTAATTTCAAAAATATTGATGAAAGGCTTATTGGTCTAAATGATTTTGGTTAAGATTTGTCTCTTTTTTTGGCCTTTGGTATGAATACCACTCGGGCTTGCCTCCATTTTTTTTTTTTTTTGGGTGTGTTGCCAGATATACCGATTTGTCGGTATTTATACCGATTTCCGAACTAGATACCGATATACAGATAAGGTTCCTCAGAATACCAATTTTTGAGGTTTTATACCGATTTATACCGTTTTTTTTTTTTTAATAATCAATTGCCTGCCCACGCTCAAATTTCTGAGAAAATTATTGTAAGAGACTTGTATCTTTTTGAATAACTAAAATTTTGTAGGCCTTTAAAATTCTAAAAAAAATCATCTTCAAAAATGTCTTATGGATACTCTTTCGATTAATGTTTCAATTTCCTCGCCGTTTTTGGCTACCCATGAATCGATAAAAAGTCGATGGCTCTTTCTGGTAATTCCGATTCCTCTCGGAAACTTATTTCGACTTCCTTTGGAAACTTCTTCAGCCTTCGCTCGAATCATTCTTCCATCTTCTCCCGCCAGTTTTTTCAACTTTCCCGAAACTTCAGGGATGCTTCCAGATTTTGATTGCAGATCCACACTAGCTGCATCAACTTTTAAGAAGTTCTGAAACTTCGGAAAAGTTCAGACGTTTTAGTAAGTTTCGATAAATTAAAGAATGTTTCAATAACTTCTGTTAAAATTCTAAATCCCGATCCGGCGAATTCCAGTGAACTTAAGGATACATCATAAATATTTTGTCATCAATCAATCTCCGAAAACTTCAGCAATGTTCCGAGGGGTTCATGCAAATTTAAGAAACGTAAGGGAAGTTACATGAACATAAGCACATTGTGAGACCATTTTATGGGAAGTTCCGTGCTTATTAATGGCAGTGCACTGCAGTGTTGATAACTTTTTAAAAATTAGAAAAATCGGGAAGATCAGAGAACTTTAATGCTGATGTTACAATAAATTCAAGAAAATTGTGCGCTTAAGAAATTTCGTAGTCTTCAAGAAAGTCTAGAGACCTTTAAAGTTAATTGGAGATATTCCGGTAGTCTCTTTATAATTAGGGAATTTCCAAGTATTTCAAAAATGATCAGAGTACTCCAAAACAGCATAAAATCCCTAAGTACATTTCAGGAATGTTCCAAAAACTTCAGAGGCATTGCGGGGTCTTCAGGGATGTTTATGACCATTTGGAAAATTTCTGGATCACTAGAACATCCCCCAGGAACTCTTTCTTACGGAATTATCTTCTTGTTTATTTTGACTGTTCCGTAAGCGCTATAGCTTCCAACTTTCTCCAGAATTTTTTTCCAATCTACCTTAGGAATTTTCTGCCTGCGTCTCCAGGAAGTTTCTTCCATCTTCTCCTGGAAGTTCAATTAAACTTCTTCCAGAAATTTCTTTCGCCTAGTTCTGGAATTTTGTCCAGTTGGTTTTTCTTTTTTTTACTTCTATTGGAAGGTTTTTCCGAGCTTCTTCTGGCTTCCCTTGGAAATGGCTATTTCTGGAATTTACTTCCAATTTCCGAAACTTTTCTGCCTTCCTTTGAATGGGAAATCCATTTTTTTCTGAAAGTTTCTTAAAATTTTCGCCAGCAGCTTCTCAATTTATGTCTCAGAAGTTCCGCTGAAGTTTTTCCGACTTCTCTCAGAACTTTCCTCAAATTTCCTTTAGGAAAACTTCTTTCTTCTTTCTCTGGATATTTTTCAGCTTCCTTCAGAAGCTAATTCAAACATTCCCCGGAGTTTTCTTCCGGAGTTTTCCGATCATAGTCCAAAAGTTTAAAATTTTCGCTTTCAAAAACGGCAAAAATATAAAATTAATTAAAATCGCAAATACCGACAAAAACCGATTTTTTAAAACCTTTGATACCGATAAGCTTTATAACATAAACATTTCCCAATAAGAAACTAGACTTGATTAATTCAACTAAACCAGAAATTATTATAGATTTACAATTTTAAATATGTGCTGGAAAAATTCAATCTGAGCCAGGGGATTTAAAAGAACTAAAAGAATCTATCGCCCATTCAATTCTAGAGCTTGTAAATATTCTAATGGCAAAGTTTTCAGCCTCTTCATTTGAAATTTCTAGCCCACATAGCGAGACATTTGTTTTGGTAGATCTATCACGTTCACCACAGTCTGAAGTTGGATGGGACCCTGGAAAATGGGTTTGCATCATCAGTTCCAGAGTTTCATTTGAGTTTTCAGTAAAATGTTCGTCAGTCTTTTTTAGAGTTCCAAAACCGTTACAATGATCTTTTGAGAGAACTTTTTGAAGTCTTTCAAGAGTGTTTCCTATGTTTTCACACATGTTTCTCCAATCTTTCTGCTTGGATCTTCTTATTTCTCTGTTATATTCAGTTAACGCCTTTTTATATTGAGACCAGTCTAAAGTAAATTTTGCACGGTTGAATAGTTTCCTAGCTTTTTCCGTAGTTTTTATAATCTGTCATTCCACCAGCAAACATCTCTATTAGTCGAGCGCTCCTTTGTAGGACAACTGGCATTGTAAGCCTGATTCATATTAGTTATTAAGTCATTAGCAACTTTTTCTAGCTGCTGGAGCGGAGCTGGTTACTCATGGAGCAACGGAGTGACAGGGCTGTTACTCACAAATATAATAAAAAACGCAAAACTACTAAAGTGAGCGAAATTAGACAACGCGTGTAATCATAACACTTCGCGGTAAATCAATTTCATATCAGGTGCAATACACATAAGTTCAGAAACTCTATTTGGTCCCCTTGTGATTTGACTTATTTGATGATCAACCGAATATATATATATATAACTGAATTTCGATTTAGTAGTAGATTGAAAATGTTAATCAATATTTACCGCCACTCCACAGCTCCGTTGCCGACCGACTCAAGCTGGGCCTCGCCGTCGAGCCGGAAGAGTTCTCCGAAGTCACAATTTACTTCAGCGACATCGTTGGCTTCACGACGATATCTGCCCACTGTACGCCCGTGCAGGTGGTGGACCTGTTGAATGACCTGTATACCTGCTTCGATGCCACCATAAACGCCTATAACGTGTACAAAGTGGAAACGATTGGCGATGCATACATGGTCGTGGGAGGTCTGCCCGTACGAACGCCAGACCATGCTGAGCAGATTGCTACCATGGCACTGGACCTGTTGCACCAGAGTGGCAATTTCAAGGTTCGCCACCTACCGGGTGTCCCACTGCAGCTCCGCATCGGACTACACACAGGTAAGACCTATTGATTCGATTGGGTGAAAGCAAGCGTTTTTCTTCTGTTGTTACAAAAAAGTAAATTTTTTTAACCGACCGTCAACAGGTCCATGCTGTGCCGGTGTCGTCGGATTGACAATGCCTCGATACTGTCTGTTTGGCGACACGGTCAACACGGCTTCCCGCATGGAGTCTACAGGTATGAAGGAGTTCAGTCACCCCATCGCACGCTAAGATGGTTCATGATTTGCGGTATCAGCTCTCGGAAATGAAAGGCATATTTTTAACGACTTTGCAAATCTGACCTTTCTGGAGAGTGTTGAAAATTACCTCAAATTTCGGTACCATTCCAGCACCAGCTGCCATAAATCATTCACCGCCATTATTCATCCCACTCATCTTCGTCATCATCGTAAAATTCAGCACGCACTTGATTTTCCTTTACGCTTTTGTCGCTGCCAGACCCGGCCAAGGCCGGGGCCAAATATTTTCCCAATCCGATGTAAACAATTTTTCAACCCAATATACCCATCGAATCCAGAGCGTTGTTGTCTCGGTGAAACAAAGTAATCAATCTCGCTGGCATCGCACCGTCACCGTCGATGGTGGTTGTTTTTCGAGGGTGCTCTCTTAAACATAGGCCTTCTAGGAAAACGCGAGAGTAACGTTCCTAAACAATTCATCTTAACCTGTCCCAACAGCGGACTCGTACTGTGCAGAGAAGTTTACCGACTCACCCATAAGTGGAATATTGTTTAGACTTGTGAGTCAGAGCGTACACAAATCTGTAAAGTGGTGAATGACCCTTCGAGGTATCTGGAAAATTTCCAGTTCCTGTAGAAACCATAAGTACCAGAAGAGGTTGGCGCAACATGGAATTTCAATAGTTGTTGGAGGCATTTCAAGAGGTAGAAAATTTTGTGATTCCAGTCAAGTTTGCAAGTGAAGTTTTCTGTACTGTGATTGTTGGCGATAAATGAAGAAAAAATCGTCGTAGGCGATTTGTCGATCGTAAATATCGCCTTCCATAGTGCCCACCTTTGCAAGCGAGTCCGCCTTCTCATTGCCCGGAATCGAGCAATGAGTTTACATTTATCTGCTGCTTGCTATTCTATCCATTCCAATCGACATAATTGCCCTACACGGTTTGAAAACGTTTTTACAACGCTCGAAACTTTTGTGAGTGTGAGTGTGACTTTTGTTGGCAGCTTACTTTTCTTCGTCAACCTTTCCATTTGAACTGCGTGTTAATTAACTGTTCTATTATCGGCAACTCGAAATCAGCCGTATTTTGTAGTGCGTATATTTCATTTGAAGACAAACCAGGTTTGGTCAGTCTTAAAAATGTAATCAGATTGAAGCTGAAGGACTAAGGAATCGTTTGAACAAAATCAGCCATGTGTTTTGTTGGGGAAATACAGTGAAATCAACGTTTAAATTGTATATGCCATTTTTTTCCGTACAACGCTTGCAAAAATACCGTTCATTTTTGATGATTTGACACGATTGCTCTTGGGCTAAGAAACAAACGAACGATAATAGATTATAATGTTCCCTATTTGAGAGGTAATAACCATTATCCAAACAGCTTGTCACAAAGAATCAAGCGAGCCAATAAAACCCTCCACTGAACGCCTACATTGTAGTTATGTGTTTCAATATGAGCGAACAAAGATTCAAGTATCTGTCAACATGCGAACTGACGGCGGCGGCGGATCGATAATTAATTTTATCTTGTTAATTATTTCCGGTCGCGTGATTTATATCGTTAGGAACAAGCGTTGCTCCTGATAAGACAGATAACATTCAATGCCGCCTTATCGGTACCGTTCACGTTGTTACTCATCCACCATGGGACCGTCAACAGATGTGATAGTCACACTTCAAAATAACCGAAGGGAGGAAGAGTTGTTTCCGCTCGGTTGGTTCATCCCTCACAACGATATCAGAGTGATTATAATGCTAATTGGATCTAATTGACTGTTTTGAAATAACCGCGATTTTACTGATCACAGTTGTTCCCGGTAGCAATTTAATCCCATCCAATTGGCTTCTTGACTGCTCGGAAGATCAAATTGTCAGGTGTACACATCCATCATCGACCTCATCCCGATAACGGATCTACCGGGTCACTCTGGGAAACGAACGTAGGTACGAGCACGGTTGGAAAAATGATTGATGAAAGTAGCGAAATCAAATTCTGACTTCACTTCTTGTTCCGTTCAGAGATCGGAAGATGTGTAGTTCCTCGGAAAGGTAAAATGTTGCACTGAAAAGGAAGAAGAAGAATAACCATTCCCCGACAGGTTCAGCTCCGATTGATATCTGTTATCCGAAGTTCGATTTCCGTTTGTTCCACTTTTCTGCGCTTGAATGGGAATCGAAACGTTCGAGAGCAGAATAAAAAGCCTAGCTAGACGGTTACCTGGAAACCAAAAGTGCCGGTACATGGCACGTGAGCCAAAACAGCCCACCGGACTGGAAAGAAGGATTCGAAGCGGAACAGTGAGCTTTTTACTGTTCTGTTGAATTCTGTGTTGAACGAATCAATCAAATATATGGCGTTAAGGAGCTTTAAATATTCCTTTAAGAGTGAAATTTACGCCAGTCGTTTGTAAGCTACATCTGTGATGTCACGTTATTATCCAGGGTAAAATTATACTTCAGCCTCTCTGCGAGAAAATAAGATTTGAACCTGGAAAAAATAATCAAGACCCTTGGAATGAGCTAGATTTTCACAATACAGTCACTTTGAAAAACAGGGAAGTCACTTTAAGGATCGTAGTGCAAATTTTTTGATTTGCAGCGGTATTTTTTTGGAGTTAATTTCTATGATTTTATGTACTTTTCAAGTGGTTTTAGTTAGACCAGTCCATTCATCGGTGGCGGCGGCGTGAAAACCATTTTTGCCTCGACGGCGGCGTGCATCGGCGTATTAAGACTCTTCCATACTGACGCAATTTATTCGCGGCTGAAAATTCGCTGATCAACCCAACGCGGCTTAGTTTATGCAGCATTTTTCGCAGGTTCGCTTTCAATTCAAGAGCAAATTTTCATTACGTCGAATGTAACAAAGGTAAACAAAGTCGAGCTATCAGTGTCAATCGATGCTCCTGCTATTACACTATATACTGTCTGAATATAGGATCACATCCCATTTTTAAATTTATTTACCAGTCGAATTGCTTTTTGACGTAATCACCTTCCGATCAAAATAGTTTTCGATGTTACTTAAGTCACCCGATTTCTATGGAGATGCCGTTTGCCTTAAGTAACAGCACTGAGAAACCCGTGAAAAGTGTACTTTCGTCGTTTTGCTTTCTCATTATTAAAGTGAATAAATCGAACTGTTTGTTGCTAAGATGATTTCGGTGGTCCTAAAATGATGAATGGGCTGCACGTAAGGAGACGTAATTGATAATTCTCCCGAATATCCTGGTAAATACACTTTGACTTAAGTAACAATAGGGGCCACCAAACGACGTATAATAACTTTTGACTCAAAAACCAGTATTTCTTAGCATGAACGCTAGCGATTTGCCTTTGTATGATTAAAACCCGGCTAAATATGTTAAACATTGCTATCACTATGAGATTATATGTGTTTAATTGGAAATAGGAATAACTTTTCGGTCATCAAAACAAAACTTTATTTTTCTCGGATCGGTGCGAATGTTACTTACGACATAATGAAAATTTGCTCTTGAATTCGTCTGCAGCGTTTTTGCCGCCGAAGAAATCAAGAGCGACATGTGAAAAGGGCATACAAGCTTTTTGTAAACAAACCTTGGTAGGCCCTCTTCTCGCTAACCGAGGCACGCCCACGCAAACTAACAACATCATCGGGAAGGGGAAACCTTCCCCTATCCGGCGATGTTGATGGTTTGCGTTGGTGTCATATGGGTGGCTAGAAAAGGGCTTAAGAATGTTTGTTTACAAAAAGTTTGTATGCCCTTTTCACATGTTGTTCTTGAAATGCAGTATCCGTTCTGATTTTTTTTTTTCTTTGATTTGTTTTCCGTCGATCTTGTTTTCCGTGCTGAGCACCAATGCTACCGACGCCAGGGAGGCAGCTCCCATACCTGGATCCTACCTATCGACCCATCAACTCATAAACCGGGGACCAACGGCTTTACTTCCCTTCTGAAGGAAGGCGTGATCAGAGATGTTATGCCTCAGAAAATCCCGGCGGCGCCGACTGGGATTGAACCCAAGCCTGCTGGGGTGAGAGGTAATCACGTTTACCACTGCACCACTGACGCCGCTTTCCTTTCTGATGTTTTGATGATTTGCATTGCCGAAAAAGCGTGCCAATCTGTGATTTCTTATGACAAAAATTATAATTGGAAGAAGAGAACCTCTGCGTACTTCGGGAAGTTCAATGAACTTCAGAATAGTTTTGTTAACCTCAGAAAAGGTCCATATATTTCCTTCTAACCCTTCTTACTTCAGAGTACTTCGAGGTATGTTATAAGATATTCTAAAATGTTTTACGAACTTCATAAAAATTCTACGAAATGTTAAAAACATATCCAATGGTCTTTTCTAAAATAATCGATTAGCTGAAAAACCTTTGAATAAGTTCTAATCAACAAGCAAAGTCGAAAAGAATATCTAAGAGACTTTATTTTAATTTTGATCAATTCAGGATCTTCAGAGAAGTACTAGTTCAACGTGAATAAATGAAAAACTTCCCTATGGACTTAACTGAAATCTTCGACTAGATAATTTTGGTTTTTTATTGCTTCTTAATAAGCCTGTCATATTAGAAGAATATCAGAAAGACAACATTTGAAATTTTGAATACTTGGAGATCTGCACAATGAAAGGTGATCTTTCTAGACCTTCACAGTTCGAAGAGTAGTGTAAATTTCTGTTCAATATGATGCACATTATTGGAGCATCATAAATCATATAAGTTTACATTATATTACATGTAAAGTTCTGGCACATTTCATGCAATGTAGCAAATATTGTATACAAAAGCCCATCTTTGTAAACAACATTGTTTAGAAGTTGCTCGGTTGCGTGAAATTAAATTTAAGTTTACGTGACTGAATGTTTGCATCACAATTAAAATTAAGAATTTTTATCTGTGTTGCTGCATTATAGAGATCTTTGATCAACTGAAGGCCTTTGGAATAACTCCAGATCAACCCTTTAACTTGACATAATTTTTACGATACATCATTTGAATAA